GAACGCGCTCGCAGTAATCATATCTCTGGCTCGTTTCAACGCTGTCAAATATTCCCGCCCTGCCCTCTGCTCACCTCATTCTCACCCATCAAAAAATAACATTACATCACCCGAACCCCCAGGCGCTAAACCTTACACCGTTTAAACACATGCCACAAGAAAACTAGCCTTTTGTTGAGGTTTGCACAGAGAGAAAACACTGTAAGTCAAGATTTGTGAGGTTTGACAGACGTTTAGAAGATTGAGATTTATAATCGTCATCATATGCTTACAGATGGTTGCAATAAAAAAAACATCACACAGTGTTAAAACCAATAACTAAATGAGCTCTTCATTTTGATATTTCAGTTTTTACAAAGCCAGTGAAAGCTTTGCAAAAGCAAAATGAAAAAAAAAAAAAAAAACGAAGAGCTTGTTTATTATAGAAATATTACAACTAAAATATTGTAGAAAAATAAAAAAGATACAGTGTCAAAACCAATAACTAAATGAACTTCTCATTTATCACAAAAAATACCTAATTTATTATAGAAATTTTAAAATTAAAAATAATGTAGAAAAAACATCATTTAGTGTTAAAACCAATAACTAAATGAGCTCTTCCATTTCTTTATTTCTGTTTTTAAAAAGCATTTTTGCTGATTATAGAAAATTTAGAACTAAAAATAATGTTAATGTGTTATTAATATTAAAAATATTAATGTGCTAAAATACATATTAGCTAATAATGTTATATTATAAAAAAAGAAAATAAATAATATTATCAATATAATATATCTAATATTAAATAATATTATCTAGCTATTAGCTCTTAAGAAATGAATGCTTTATAAACATATGAATTAAAAATAATAAAATAAAATTTTAAAATGTAACATTTAAAATTTAAAAAGAAAAGTACCTAACCAGGGTGTCTGAAGTTAATGACTATTTGTACTGTACAAAATACAAAATATCAGTTTTGAGACACTCAAAATTACCTATTCAGATTTTTTGGTCCGACTTGTTTATGATAAAGAAAACTATTTTCTACAGTCGATGTGAAAAGCGTTTCACTCATAAAAACAAAGCTGAAAAATGTGTTTGCAAAGAAAAATCTATCCAGAATGGAATAAACAAAAAAAACAACAACAACAACAAACAAGCCACTGAGTGCATAAACAGCTTCCATTAGGGCTTCATTTGGAGCTTTCTGAAGTTAACGACTATTCGAATGCAACGTTAAACCTCTGACAGGCGCTCAAACCCTCGTACTCCTCAACGGCAGAGCGCCGCTACTGTGTCTTTGTCAACGCTGGAGGTTCAAGGTGGTGTCACAGAACAAACTCTGACATTCAGCAATTAGATGCTTTGACATCGTTCTGAAGTTCCAAGAGATCCAAGAATTCCGCTTCCATAGAGACGAGTCTCCATGTGTCAGAAACACTGAGACGAAACCAAAGAGGGGAAAAAAGAAACGTATTTGCATGGCTCCTTTCAAGTGCTGGCTGGGTTATTTTACAGTGAAGAATAACGACACGAGAGTTTGCGTGGTATCGGGTCCGTGTGAGCCAACTAAACTGGCTGGAATTATCTGAGAGTGTATTTTTGGAAAGCCATTTGGTGCCAGGTCCCTTCCAACACGATTCTGTGCTGCACGCTTCAAAGATCACAGACGCTGAGACAAGACACTGCCATTGTTTCATGAGCGTGTAAACAAGTGCATTGCTCTATTTCTGTTTAGAACCTGTTTTCACTAATTACATTTTAAAAAGCATTTTTAAAACTGCATGCATGTGGTGCATTTAAAAAAAACTAAAGCCATTAGATTTGTACTCATGAAGAAAAACAAAACAAAAATGAGACAACTGTATTTTTTGTACTCTTTTGCTATTTGATGGGAAAATAAAATATAGCTTGAACAATAGCACAGCCATAAGAGTCCGTGCATTACAGCGATTTTACCACGGTAGACCATCAAAACACAGTCAAGATAATGCACAACCTCTCTGCTTTTATAAAAAAAAACAGATTATAAAACACACCAATGTTTAATAAATTGTTAAATGTATTAATATTAGTAACCTGCATAAAAATGATTCCATTAATCTAACTGCGCGCAACCTTCTGCATTAATATAAAATGTGCGGTTTGTGTTTATCATCATTTTACAGTGATTCTGAACAAAGTGTCTAAACTACAACACATACCATACAAAGATTACAGTGTGAACGAGCACAAAGACTATAAAATCCACCTATATGCAAGCACACACACAAGCTTCACACAGACACATTCCTCAGACAAGAAAGAAAATATGACTGGAATGAAAGCGAGTAGAGAAGAGCGGCATGAAAATACGGCGGTGTCTCCGACGTTTGGACTAAAATAAAGTATTTCTTCCTCCTTCTGCAAGCAGAAGAACGCTGCGGCTGTTTAGATTTCCCTCTGCGTCCATCGTTCCTTTATATCCCAGTAAAAACACAGCGGGGTCAAAAGGTCGGTTCGTGACCCAGGGCCACGCACTCCCCTGCAGGTGTCAATTGGCACATTGGGAGGAACTGTAAAAACACACTGTAGACTCACTGACAGGATTGGATGTGATCTTGAGCTTTAAAAAAAATTGGACGTTTCAACTGCAAAACTATATGAGATACTTTCCACTTTACCAAACACAATCAGATCTTTACTCACTTTTAATGTTACATTGTCACGGTAACATTGTTAAACAGACTTTAGACTTTTTTTTTTAAATGCAGACAAATAGCTAAATTAGTTATTGTGTAAAAATTATTAGGTTATATATATTCGACTATAAACCTTTAAGTCACAAGAGTGACAGAGAAAGTAAGCGTGTTTAAATCACATGACTACATATTTATAATCTTTAACTTTTTTAATTTGTTTTATACATTTTAACCACCTAATTCTGCAAATCTCAGTTGAACGTGCATTTTAAAATCGTCTGATGCACTGTACCTTGAAATGAGAATATAGAGTTTACTTGTTTGTTTTTAACAGAAATACTGACAAAATGCTAAATAAATTCCTTTGGTGAGTACATAATACTACCAGCTCCATTTACTAGAATCATAATAGAATATATGATAAACTCTAAAAAAATGCTGGGTTGTTTCAACCCAACTTTGGGTCAAAGATGGACTAACCCAGCTGTTGGGTTAATTTTTTTAATTACATTTTTAACCCAAAAGTTGGGTTAGTCCATATTTGACCCAAAGTTGGGTTGAAACAACCCAGCATTTTTTAGAGTGTAGATGCAATTTTTAAAAAGTTTTAAAAGAAACACATCTTTTTCTTATTTTCCAGTATTGCAAATATCAAGTATTTGCAAACGTGCTCACAAGTAAAATTTAAGGCAATTCTATTTTATTGCAATTTTAGTGAAAGAAGTTGATCTGTAAGTTCTGCAGATTTGTTTTCAGCAAGAACTCTTAGCAAACTAGCTTTACAGTCCTCCATCGTGCTAAACACACACTCATCCAAACATCACTCCTGCACACTTTTGCCAAGGAACCAGCATCTCCACAGACGCCAAAGAGAATAAACACTTTTCACGAGCTATTTTGATTCCTGCATGATTTCAAAACAAATAAAGTTAACAACCGTACAACTCGGTATGTCTGCGGATTTGCCTATTAAAACACTGAATGACTGAAGAACAAAGCGAAATGACAGTAAACATTCCAAATCGGAAACACTTTTAGACACGACCAACGTAGAAGCGTTTGAATCCATCTATAATTCCTACAAAGAGGTTTCCTGGATATGATAAACATCCATGGATGTGTCAACTTTCTTACAAACAAACCTCACATCTTAAACCTCACTCCATGTCTTTTCGACCCGTCTTCCAGAGCTGACGGTCGCTTCATATTTTTGCAGAAAAAGGGCAAAGAGGAGCAGAGCAGTCTGGGATACGTCCACGTCGCTCCGCGCTCGAACTCTGCGTGAACTCGGAAAAGAAAAACAACCAGAAAAAGAAACGGCGGGGAGTAAAACTCCACGCATAACTGCGTCACTCACTCCCCTCTCAGACGCATAGCAGGCCGCAGAAACCCCCCGCTCTGCTCGCGCCTCCAACTCAATGAAAACATCATCGCCAACCATCACGGCGGCGGAGACAGAGACAGAATAAACAGAGATGAGAACCACCCACGGCCTCACAGCTGGAACAGAGCAGTCAGAGAGATAATGATAAAGAAATCGGCTTTATCTAGTCCTTTTTATTTCATGCACTAATGACTGTGAAACACGCTGGAACCGTTTCCACATCAATAGTGTCTCAGTATCTCACCAGCACAAATCCACCCTCTCTCGGCTCGAGACAAAAACACAAGTCGCTTTGAGCAGCTCTGCTCTTGACACACCAGACCACAAACGTCACCTTCGACCCCTTTCTCAGCATCTACTCTTACATCCACGACGTTTTTAATCATTGCAAAGGCTCCACAAAATGAAACGAGGTTTCCCTTCAAAAATGCACAAACACAATGTTCATTCATCGCTGTAGCCAACTAAATAAACATTTCAACTAAGCAACTTATGGCAGTTTGTAATTTAATCCTGCTCTTTCCTAACCAGAACGTAGCTGGATTTTTGCACAAAAACAAGCCCGGTACAGTGCAAGAGTAGTAAAGATGATTTAGCAGTCAAGAGGTCGAAGAAGCTGAACTTCTACAGACGTTTCCCTTCATTTCCTCACTATACGATCGCCACAAACCCACATTTACCCACTGAAATCCACACTCTAAAGCATCCAATGCACAATGCAGAAAAACAGCATGCCACTACAACACAACACTGTGTTTCCAATTAGAAGATTTTTTACTTAACTAAAAATGTCATGGCATGTGCTAACCATTAAAAGACAACAATTTGCTTTCACAGCTTTGACCAGACACTGATAAACAAATGCACTTGATGTCCAACAAATATTCAGTGTTTAAAAAAAAACAAAAAAAGAAACATGGTGTATTTTCTTAAAGCATAGCATGGCTTGCCTGTTTTTTCTTTGACATCACACAGGACGTTGAAGAGCGCTGGCTTCATTCTGTGGCAGTTGAGAGCATGTTTTCTGAAACACAACACAAGGCCGCGGTGAGCGTCTGCACAGACGATATTTCACTCCACTAGCAAAGACTTATTTATCTGTCTGTTGCCTGAACGTATAGTGATCGTGGTTAAATGAAAAGCACATACCGATCTGAGCAAACCCATGCTAGTCTCTGTTTATCATATTTTGCATGCATACAGTATGCATAATATTAACAAAATTCTATTAGTGACTAGCACTATTTCAGTAATTAATCATTCATATTTTTGTATCTTTGCATGTATTGTAATAACTCTAAAATATTTTAAAGATTTTTTTAAAAATTATCATTTTAAAAAATGCATGTTTTTTTATTGAACACATCTATACGCAAAAACAATCAATTTGATTAATTAATGTATTCAAACATTTAACATGATTGCAATAATGGAGTGATTACATTTTTAAACTATTAACTAATACAAATCAATAACACTGTATTTGCAAATATTTCTAAAATATACAGGGGGAAAAAAACATAAAATGATAAAATATATTTGAGTTAATTGAATTAAAAACCTCTGTTCTGAGCAATATTCATCCTAAAGGGACACGATCAGACGTGTGATACGAGTCTCAGTGCTGTCTGTCAAATTCTATCTTGGCATCTGTTCATTTCTATTGACAATAAATGAGCACTGCATGTCAGAAGAATACACTGATGTCTGTCACTACACACTACATGTGTTTGGACACACTGACAACAGCGATTGTGTTATCAGTCCATTTCTGGATGCCTACTTAGTCGATAACTCCTGATCTGCATGTAAATATTTGCTAATTGCCAAGTATCATAAAGATGTCAAACATCTAAACTATATTGCCTAAACTATATTTTTTTCTGCCGTTATTGTTACTACAATAGAATTGTTTTTAAAATGCCACTTGATAAGTAAAAAGTGAATTAGACGCCAACTGACATTAAAAAACTACAGTAGATTCTAGAAAGAGATCTCATATTAATTTATTAAGAATTTACAGTGTTAACAATAACTGTAGTAGTGTAGGTTATTTATCATAATTTGGCATATCTTTAATTAGCTTACTAAAAGTTTTTTTATAGCGTTGGTCAAGTAAATTATATTATTTTTAAAAAAATATATGTGTAAATACTATACATAAAGTATAGTATTTATAGTATACAAACGTTTCATTGTTATATACATATTATTAAAAGTGCAAATGCGATATTATTATATTTTTATTATATTTTTTCTATTACGAGTATGTTTTTAAAATTATTTTTATTAATTTAATGAATATTGTTTGTAAAAGGTGTATCTTATTTTATACTCTAATTAATCAAATGTCAATAGCGTTTTGAAGATGAAAGTCAGCATGAATATTCCAGATCTTCGGATGAGATGAGTGACAGCTCACCTGGCCTGTGCCTCGTCCAGACTCTGGTCAGTGATGGTCATGATCTGTTGTAAAATGTCTCCAATGTCCTGCTTCCTTCCGTCTCCGTCGGTGGCTCCGGTGTTGTCCTGTATGTGCTGAGACAGGCCCGGGTGTCCGCTCATCCCCACGGCCGCATGAGCGTGCATCAGGCGCGGCTGGTCGTCCATGTCGGCCCGCTCCGGTCCTCCGGTCTCTCTCCTGTCCAGCTGCGGCGGAGATTCCTCTGGCAGTCTCTCGGCAATTTGTAAGCGCAGTCCTCCTGAGCTCACTCACTCACAGCTCGATCCACTATCAGCCCTTTAACCACTAAACTCACCGATGTGTGTGTGCTGTGTTATTAATCAGGTCCCGCGTGAAGGCAGCGCTTCATACACTCGCGCGTTATTTCACTGTTTCATCCCGCTGCTTTTGTTACATTGTAGCGCTCTCAGAGCTCAGAGACTCCGTGATGCTTTGGCCCCGCCCACGCACTCTGATTGGACACAGGGACCGCGTAGCCCCGCCTCCGCATGTCTCTCAGCTCACGTCAATCATTGCACAGGGAAGATGAAACGCGGGAACGCGTCTTGCTCTTCATGTTTGTCCGCAGCACATGTGTTTTTTGTTAATATTTCTGATAGCACACATGTATTTAGAAAGAACGTCCTGGGTTTTCTGTGATAAAAAAAATGTTTGGAGGTGTGACCATATGCAAATATAATACTGGCTAACAAAATGTTATATTATTTACATTATATAATATAATTTAAGAATCGAATATAATATCCCATTAATATTATTGCAATTGTAATTAAATACTATAAATACAGTAATGTCAAATAGTATTAAAAACTATGTGAATTATATTTGAAATATTTTAATTAATATTGTATATATATATATATATATAAAATAGTAATCATGTTTATTATTATAATAATAAAACTTAGCAACCACAATATAATATTCTATTAACATATTCTATTAATTTCTATTATAATATATTAATACAACAATTATATGTAATTAGTTTTTTGTGTAATAAGCATAAAGCACTAGTATGAGTATTACAATTTATTTATATGTTTATTTATTTGTGTAAAAAGCAGTAGTATGAGTATTACAATTTATTTATATGTTTATTTATTTGTGTAAAAAGCTAGTATGAGTATTACAATTTATTTATATGTTTATTTATTTGTGTAAAAAGCAGTAGTATGAGTATTACAATTTATTTATGTTTATTTATTTGTGTAAAAAGCAGTAGTATGATCATAACAATCTAAATGAAAATGTATGTATTCATTCATTCATTCATTCTATACAATACAATAAAACTATTAAATATGTAAAATATTAAAATAATAAAACCTATATGAACAATATAAAAATTAAATGTTGGATCTTTTTTATTATTATTGTAATGTATTCATTCATCTGTGGTTGGAACTCATTCGACACGTTTAATATGAGGGACATTGAAGGTGGTGGGATTTACTGATGTTTCGAACACGAGCTAAATCATTGAATCTGATGTTCAGGGTCTGTCTCACTTTCCCCTTTGACCAGTGATAGACCTTCATTTTCTCTCCACCACTCCATCTCATTTTCCAGCCCGCTGCCAAGGAATAGATATATTTCACCGAGGTGTAAAACTCCCAATCAAAACAATCGACCTTGTCCTTCATCCATTTCAGTTATTACCCGGTTAATGTGCTTAATTCAGGATTAACGATCGAATGATTCTATCCTTCACTTCAGTCCCAATGAATAATGTTGAATTTTCATACTGATTTTGTCTTTTAATTAAGCAGTAGCAAAGTGTTTCTGAAGTGCAATGCTAAAATGATTTGATGCATTTTATTTAAACGTCTTGTTTGAGCACAGTGCATCGATCTGTTTTAATGCTCAGTGCAGCGCTGGGGTTTTTCAGGTATGTTCAAGCAGCACGCTTGACTGTGTTCGCTTGGGTTTTTCTAATGTAAGCCGGTGACCCATGGTGCGCAGCCAAGCAGCAGGGCCTCAGTGTGTGTGACCAGGCTGAAAAGTGCCTTCCAGGTCTGAAGCATCCACTCTAGTGCTCCTGCCACTGCGGGGGAACACACACACACACACACACACTCGATCCAGTGTGTATTATTGAGAGATGCCTGCTTAACTCAACCGAGAACATCCAGCAAATCCCTGAGCGAAAATAAATGCAAGACACTTCAGGCTAGTTTCCCTGTTCCAAATTGAGCAGCGACCCTCTGGCTAAGAGACGGATTTCTTGGAATGTATTTGGAATGACTTTGCAGACAGTCCCCTGGTTGTTCTCTGTTTATCCTTAGTTTGAGTTTGTAAAAGGACAGTTCTGTACCTGTGTGCACTGTGATGACGTCTCTGTAGTGTGCATCTCGCCATCTGCCACGTGTAACAGGAATTCCTGAGAGATCTTTCATGTAGCATGAGAGATGGTCGCACTGTCCAAACATCTGTCCTGACCATCGCACGGCATCATATTCGCTCATCAGATCAATCTAACGAGCGTTCAGACACCACACACTTCTTGGAATGTTACAAATATGGGTTAAACTGGAAATAAAGTGCTTGCAGTTTTGGGCCTTGTTTTTACACTGTTTCACTTTGGAAATATTTTAGTGATTGGAATCAGTTATAAGTTATAGACATTTTAACAAAGTAAATCATGCAAAATTCATGCATGTGAGATCAACCGCATGGTCACAACTCCAAAACGGAGATAATAAAATGTGACTATATAATATTGTATAGTAAAGATACACTCTTAGAAATGAAGGATCTCCTTTGACATTCTTTAACAAAGGTTCTTTATCGTGGAAAAAGGTTCTTTTAGATTAAAATGGTTCTTTTAAGAACTGTTCACTGAAATATTTCTTTTATGGCATCACTGTGAAAATCCCATTTTGGAACCTTTATTTTTCAGAGTGCAGCAAAAAATAAAAATAGACTTATTAAAGAAGGAAAAAATTATTTGTGTCCAATTTTGATGCAAACCCTTGTGCTGAGGTGGAAATCCTTTATCTAATTTGGTGTTCCAAAAAATTGCTCGTAAATCTCTCATTATGCTACATTATCACCAAATCTGGGATTGAATATTTTTGTAATCTTGTTTTCTTTTAATTAGCACAGTTTTTTATTTCATGTTGTAGCTTATTGGTCATAGGCCTCAATTATGTGAGTTTATGCACCTCAGTTAATTATAATTTTGGCAATGTTCAGTGAAAAACATAAACTCAGATCAATGAGGCCTATGATCAATCAGTTCATAAAATTAATACAAAACCTGTGCTAACTGAAAGAAAAAAATGTGATAAAAAGACTGAATCCAACATGTGGCAATAATATAGCATATTGAGCGATTTATAATCGATTTTTTGTAGGCTGGTCACAAGGAACTTTGCTCGCACTGACAGCAAAGTCAGTAAGTTTTAATCCGATTTGATAACATTAACATTAACATTAACATTAGCATTTTCAGGAAAAGTAAAATCCTCTCCAGGTCAAAATCTCAGAATCTGGACATGTGCAGTTTTGTTTGTGGCAGCCGCTCATAGTTTCCTCATGATAAGACACGATATTGGCACCCTAATGTGATTCACTGTCATACATTCACAGCTATTAACAGTAACAAGAGTCCATTTCAGACCACGATGTCAAATACAACAATGTGAAGACACATTCCTTGTCCTACTTCCATATGGAAAACCACTGGATCATAGTTAAAATGTCCACTCTTTGATTTCTATTGCATTGTATAATTATCAAGACCTATTTTTTTTTAATTGCTCCATGCAGTGTTTTCTGCCCTAATTAAAATACAGTAAAAAGTGTTCAAAGGAGCTGAAAGTATCATCAAATGTTAATTTATAATAAACAAACATGCAAAGGAAGATTTATGAAGGATATGAAAATCTGTGGAGCTTTTCCACCAAATTCTGTGGGCGCGGACTTGCGTATAATGCCATAAATAAAATACACTAATTTACTGTTTTAATACCATAAAAAGAACAACCGGGAATGGCTATTGACATACGACTTAAGACAGCATCAGGGCTTTGCAGCTGCATATCAATAAAGACATGAATTAATGCCAAATCGTATATCACATTTCTCATCAATGAAAGAGCTTTACAGTAATCACTTAAAACCTCACTTTACACACAGCGCAGTCACACGATCTGTGGCGTTCCACGCAAACACACGTTACGCCTGCATGTGAGTGTTCTGTGAGTGGATTGAAGCTGACAGCGATGCAGTCGTGCAGTGGATCGCTGGATCTCTCTCTGTGCCGAGGGTCATTCCTCTCCACCAGGAGATTCCTCTCACACCGCTGCAGGCTCTGGGCTGATCCTGGAGGAAGTGTGAAGTGTGACAGCAGTGGGGGTTTTCTCAAATCATTTGCTTTCTGTGAACTTACACTTACACATGATCTAAATGAGGCATTGGGTCCCACATCTTTAAAATGCTTATAAACTGTAAACCTAATAGACAACTTACTAACTAACTAACCAACCTACTTACTAACTGGAAGTCAGCAGTTCCTCCTGTGTATTGCTATTGGGTTTTTAGATGGTTTTGTACATACTCTTAAAATGTTAAGAATGACAGAAACCTGAGCTCTTCTCCATTCATGGAATACTTCTTTACCCTTTTTATTTGGCCTTCTTTTTCATTAAACTAAGTGTGTATACAAAAAGTGTTTGCTTGACATTTTGTCATTTGTATTAATGTTTATGTATACAACTTACATATACTTACAACTCACATATATATATATATGATTATAATATATTTATGATTTTCCAAAAATGATTCATTGGAATGTTTTCAGTCAGTTCAATAAAAGGAAACCAAAACTATAAACTGTAAAACTGTTTTAAAAACAAAAAGCAGAATTTGTGATATTCATAAAACCTTGACTCTAACATTACAGATAATTTACTAATTTAAAAGAATTTTACAGCTAAATTGATTAGTAAATATTAATCAATAACCAGACATGAGCACACAGAATCTGAAACCATAGAAATTCATCCAAAAGTTTTCCAGTGAAATCAGAAGACGCGATCACATGAGCAAAATTATGATGAAAAAAGGTCCATTATTATCAAGAGTGGATATAGTGATGGACTAGCAGCTTTCTGTTCATAAATGCAGTGAATTCATGCGACTTGAAGTGAAATCTGTGTTCGGAAATCTTTTGCCCTCACATGAAATTCCCAAACGAGTGAATCTATTTCTATTGAAATGACATGATTTTGCCCACAAAAATGTGTCGAGCAACAGTAAATGTGACTCATTTATTAAATATTTTGGCTTGCTTTATGTTTTTTAATGAGAAAGTAGCACTCATCACTCTTTGTTAGCACATTCTAGTAATATTTAGCAGAAACTTTTATCCAAAAATATAAATGTATGTATCCAAATGTATCCAAGAA